TCTTCTTCTTCCGAGTCATCGTCGTTCAGGTAGATGCCATTGCTTGCTTGTACTTCTGCTCGGATTTGACGTCTGTCCATCCTCCTAAGTTCATGGCTGATCCAGTCCATTGTATGATCTCTTGTGCATGTTGCAGGCGATCTTGATCAAGACCAGCACCGCAATCATGAGGACAAAGTTCACCACTGCCAGCATAGACACCGTCCACGTTGAAGAATCTCCGTGGTTGACACCAGGCACGTAGAGCTACTCTGACCCAAGGCTTCGCCACGAGTCAGCAGAAGTGCCCCCAATGTCAACCTCATCAAGCGTTTCGCCACTTGATTCATCAGGGTGCTGGACTGTGACTGTCTAGTTTCCAAAGCCTCGGCATGAACCCACCTTTCTGATGGCCTGAATCTTCTCCTTGTTCTGCTTCTTCACGATCTCCTCTTCCAACTCATACCATCCAAGATTTTCCATGTCGTTGATGAATCCCAAAAGAATTAGCAGCATCTTCACACGTTTTCCAGCCAAACACTTGGTTCCCATGTCAGCCGGATTCCATGCTGTGTCCACCCGACGTGGTTGAAAATCTCGACCTTGGCGTTGCTGAATCCATAGCAATCGCCCATCCAAATGGCGAATCCTTCCAACTCCTCCTTGACGGGAAGCAATGCACACCGCAGCGCTGTTGTCGGCGTAGACCTTCAGCTGCACCGGTTCCTTCACCACATGTCTCAAGATCGCAGCAAACAAAAAAAAAATCAGCTGCTCCTGAAACCAAAGCCACAAATTCAGACTCTGTTGAAGAAAGGGTAATTTTCTTCTAGGTCCTTGAGAAAGAGAATACCCTGACGCCGCCAATGAAAACGCATCCACACGTAGTTGAGGATCTTGTGAGGCGGTTTCCACTCCAATTCGAATCTGTTGCCACTTCGACCAGCCAGATGTCCTTGTCCTCCGCATAGGTCGGACCAGTTGGTGAGCAACGGGGTGGCCTTTGTTCCAATTTGGCCGTAGGAAACGTTCCAAGGCCATGTTCTCACCTTGCTAAGAGCTTCCGGGGGGACAGGCATTCGACGAATGGTTCTCGTCCACCTCAAACCGTCGCTTGTTGCGATGGTGTGGAAGTCTGCACGGCCTGTCTTCCCCAGCCAGGTACCCACATGGAATTTATCTTCTCCATTCGCTGAAGGAAGACGGCCAAGAACTCTTTCTCCGAAAATGGCAAGTTTGCCCATGTACTTCCCTTTCGAGTCACCATCTCGTAGGAAGTAGCTGATCCAGCTCGTCGACGAAAACGGGTGACCAGCCAGGCAGCATGCCTCATGGCCCATGCAAACACGGGTCCAGTCGGATTGATTTCGATCCTGGCGCCTTCTCGAAGCCTCCTCACCAAAGTTCTGGCTAGCCCCTGATTCAGATTCAGTGTAATTAAGCAGTTCTGCAAATGCGCGGACGATCTCACTTTCGTGCATGTCAGCTTTGCTTAGACAAACGAGGGTGGACTTCAGGGGCGCCGAGCGCAAGTAACGTTTGGAACGCATGAGAATGGATCTGGAAGCCCATGCCAAGCAAGCCTGATATGTGGAAGAGCGCAGACACGACGGCTTGTACTGCGTGCCTCATGGTTTTTGCCGTTTTTCTGGAAGGTAGTCAGCAGACCAGAAAGAAAGAGGCTCAGAAGAGAGACATGATGCTTTCGTTTTAGTCTGTGTTTCAAGACTCCTGCAGACTGCCAGTGAGTTTCCCTAGAGCAGAGACCGGCAACCGGTGTATTTTCCTTCAGAGACTGGAATGTGAATTGCTTGCAGCCTCCACACACCCTTTTCGCAGTCAAGTTGGGGGCCGAGCTTTCAGCACTTTTTAGCAGCTCCACTGCTGAATAGATCCCCTCAATGATGGTAACACCCAACCTTGGTCAGGCAATGATGGATCACTATGTAAATGCAAGCTGAGAGTCACCAGGCCCACTGAACTCCAACATTGTTTTGAACCCCAACTTCTGACGGGCCTCCTGGGTGACCTCCAACAGCAGTCTCATAGCAGGCTCTCCATCGGCCTTCAGAGTGCAGGTGCTGAAGCTCCTCTCTGTGATGTACCGGATCAATTGCTCTGCTAAGAACTTCACATGGCTCTTGTTCTTTCCAGGGACCGGGGCCACCATCACTCCATGCGTGAAGCCGTCGGTCACCACCGAAACAACTCCACAAACATCACCACCATAAAGACGTAGATCTTCTTTGTCCACCTCCTCAGGTTCTTGAAAGCCACGTGTGAAGCAGTAGTCCGGCGACACCAACAGGGAATTCTGAATGAGCTTCATGCCGTCCAGGTCCTGCAGGCTGATGGGGATCACCTTTGGCTCGTGCTGCAACACAGTGGTCACACCAACTTTCAAATGGCCAGTGTGTGAGCTCATGGATTTGCCTCTCACTCTTTGTAGGCATTCTTGGGATTGCTTGTCCATTCACATCTTCTCCGCCTTCCATCACTTTGCGTCGCTCGAACTCCCTCTGAGCCAAGCCAAGCTGTCGCTGTAGTGCTTGTGAAAGTGCACCAAGCGCTTCCATGCGTCAGCCTTGCTTTTCCCACGAGGAAGTCCACAAAGTTTCAAAGCTTCTCTCAACTTTGAAAGGTCGATGCCGTGTACTTGACACCGTCCAGCTCGATCTCTTCAGCTTCCTTCTGGTGCATCCCGATTCGGTGGTTCCTTTTGAGCTGGATCTCCTTCTCCAACTTCAGGTTGAGGTCCCATCTGGTTCTACTCATCTTCCACTTCGTACACTCCGTCCTCCAAACTGCGCCCATGCCATCCAAATCCTTGTTGCTGCATCTCCACTTCGTCTTTGCGAGCTTTCTCATCCAACCTGGGCCGCAAGAATGGATCGTCGGAGCCAGTGTTGATGGTACCCACCTGGTTGATGTCCTCCATCTCCTGGTGAAAGAAGGTCACCACGGTTGTCAGCTCACCGCAGCACTCTTCAATCTCATTTTGTGTTGGGCTCGTTCAGCTACCTCCACAATCTCCCAGATGCGTCCCTTGAGGATCACTGTCGACCTGTAAGGGAAGTCGACCCTTGGGGGTAGCTATCCTTGTAATGCATCGAATTTAGAACCACCAAGAAAGGAGTTTGCCTGTCCAGCGTGAGATGCCAGCCAGGTACTGCCAGCATGCTCAGCATATGGCCTTCAAAGGTGATTGTCACCTGCCGCACGCGAAGATCACCTTGAGGAACTTTGTCTCCGCCAACTCTTCGAATCTCAGCCATCATGACCAAAGAGTTCTGTCTGAAGTCAAGGGACTTGGAAGACTCGTCCTTGTAGGCCAGCTTCACATTGTCGCCACCATCAATCCATCCCAGCTTCATCAGTTTTCCAACCGCAAGAGACATTCGAAAGAGCAAATGTCTCCCTGAGGCACATTGTGTTGCCCATGTCGTCCTGGATCACCACCAGAGCTTGCCGAAGTTTTCCTCCTTGCATCTTTCGGCCCTGCGCATCCCTCAAGACACTTGTTTTGTCCAGTGGCGTCCCAACCTCTCCATAACTAAGGGGCAAAACCGACAAATCGGCTCCACTATGCAAGATCACACTGATCTCTCCATTAACTCCTCCATGCGCCTTCACCCCTCTGATGAAAGCCTTTGCACCAGGAGGCCTCGAACCCCCACATCCATCCTGCTTGTCCATGGAATTCTTTGTGAGGTCCTGGAAGCTCTCGAAATAGGCCGTGCCACCACATCCATTGCCGCCAGATTCACGAAGACACCAATCATCATCGGAGTCGCCGTAGGTCATGTCGTAGACCTTGTTCTGCACCATCCGGACGAAGAGCTCCTCGATGATGCCGTCGCCACCATCCATGTTGAAGTAGGTGATGCTCCGCACTGCAGTTGCCTGTGAGGTCATAGGAGCTGTTGTGGACAGAGCTGAACCGCTGCCACTCACCATGGATTGCGTGGCAACTGATGGAGAGGAGATCACAATGTCCTTTCTGGCCACAGAGCTTGCATGTGTCTGGTGACAAGCTCCCTTTCCCTTTTCCACGGCTAGCATCACCTTTCCCATATCCATTGTCCTTGCCCCTGCCCTTGTCCTTGGACTTTGTTTTACCATCTTTCCATTTTCCTTTCGCTTTACTGCCATCTTTGCCAGCTGTCTTGGACTTGCCCTTCTGCTTCCCCTTAGCTTTTCCTTTCACCCTGCCAACTTCCATGGGAACTGCCTCATCTCGCTCGTCCTTCGATCTTGATGTCGAGCTCCCGATAGACGGCCTGCGATAACCAGGAAGCAGTGGTTCTTTTATAGCTGATCACCTTCTCCCTGCTTGCTGTAGTCCGCGTCCTCGTCCATGGAGAGTTGCAGGTGGTTTCGCAACTGAGGTGGGACCACCTTCAGCAGCGTGGACAGTTGCGTGTCATCTGAAAGCTGGTTTCCACTCACAGTCTTGTATTCTTGTGTAGGTGGTTGAATATCATTGGTTGCTGTAGCCGTCGACGATCACCTGGCAGGCCTAAAAAAGAAAATAGCCGGGCAAGGGCACGACGACTCTCCAGAGCAAGACCTTTTAAAGGTCTTCGTTTGGAGGCCGCCATCGTTTCCCTTCCCTAGATCGCGGAAGGGAGGTGCCGCGGATGCAACACCCAAACTGCACATCCTTCCTGACCACGAGGTCATCGTGCAGGAAACGGAAGTGTTTGCCTTAAACAAACAGAGAAAGCGAAAATACGAAAAGGTCGACATCAAAATCCACTCGCAACTGGCCCAAAAAAGGAACCAGTGACAGTCCGCCCCCTGTTGGGGCATGACACCGGCAACTGTCGATATATACACCTGCGACAAGGTATGATTGACCCTACCGGAGTAAGGTCGCTCCACCTTCTGCCCCCTTGTCGCAGACAAAAAGGGAGCTAACAAAAATTTGTTGCAACTGAAATTTTGGTCCGTTTGCTGCAAATGAGTTGATGCACGAAAAAACGTAATGCGCGTTACTCCCAGGACCTCGTAGAGGTGGATCACTCCCAGGTCTTGTATTCTTCAGCCAGCCTCTCTAATCCAAGAACTTGTTGAAGAATGGATCGATCTTTCCCAAAGACCGGATGGCTCAGGTAGGCCTGCAGGAATCCATTTCCATCTTCCACCGACCGAAGAATCTTCAGAGGTCTGTTGCATAAGACACCTGTGGGTATGCTGAAGAGCTTCTCCGACCCTTCATGCCCCTCCAACGAGAGGTCGATGAAGTACAACGGCTTTTCAGCTCGTTCAGCTTTGTCAAGGTCCTTCTGGTACTCTTCCTGAGCGAAGAACAGCCATGATCTGAAGCTAAGTCTCCAATCTTGCCACTGCAGTACTTCTTCCTCTTGGTTGCTTGGAGTGAAGACTTCAGGCGGTGGGATTATACCGGCATCTCCAAACCTATCTTTCTTTTCACTCATCTTGTCTTTGAACGCCTGGCCAACATCGCATTGGCCTGGGCTGTTGCAGGTTGGGCCATCTCCATCCTCCCAGGTTGTTGCCCTTGCGCTCCTTGGGGATCATGCCCTGGTCCTTGTCCCCCTTCCATGGCTCCAAGCGTCTGCCCTCGCCCAGGGTCAGGGGTCGTCGGGCTCCGCTACCATGAAAGCCCACGATGTCGCGGCTGCACGTGGGCCACCTTTCCTTGAGGCAATGAAGCCTGCGGTAACGAAATCCTTTGCACATGTATGCATGAAATGGTATGTGGCATGGGTGAGTGCATTCGGCACATGTCTTACAAAATATATCAGTGATTGTCATTGTAAGCAGCATGTCATTGTCATTCTAGCCAGATTGAAAGTCACTAGCCATCCAAACATGGGGCAGTCCTTGAAAAAACATGTGGCATTTTTCTTGTTTCGAAAACCGGACATGTTGTAGATTACGCTTATATTGATCTATTCTAAAAAGGCTAAATTTTGTATCAGAATGATAAATGTATCACAATATATTCACAATCAAGTTTATATATATATATATATATGTATGTGCATATACATATGTTGTACACACATACATAGAAAAGTTTCTACCATGCCAGGGTAACGTACACTATACTACATGCAAAAGTTGCCTGTTGAACCTACTTCTTCTGATTATGCTGATTATTACCCAACAATTATCAATGCTATGAGTTTGTCTTAAAATAAGCTACTTACGGCAATTTTGATGGTTTAAAACTGCAGTTTCCCTATCATTTGTTGCGATTTGGAGATTTTTTCCCCATTTGCAGACATAGCTATCTGCTCGGGGATCCTGGACTTGTTGGACAGATCAACCACCACGAGCACCGCCACGGTCTCTGCCCCCACTCCACGTTCTGCACACCAAGAGACTTGATCCACTGCTCCGTCACTGTGGTGACCTTCTGCATGAGGTCTTGAGTGGCCACGCAATGGATTCTACACATTCCGCCCACCACAAGCGACTGGTTGGTTGTTTCGCTTGGATCCGATGTTCCCAAAAGAACCTTCTGAGCGACATTCCGGAGCTCGACCTTGGCAGCAGCATGCTGCTTCTTGCACTCCTCCTCGCTGGCATTGTACCTGCCCGCCAGCTCAGCAAACCACTGGCGGTACACTGGTACCCCCAAATCATCCATTTTAGTAGGATCTTCCATGAAATAAATCATCCAGCTATTGGGGTACCCCCCCCAAAATAGTAAGCCTGGTTGGAATTTCTTCAGACCTTCTACCTCGGCCAGTCATCCCGAAGAACACTTAAGTCCTGACAGTAGCATCGCAGGGCTTCCCGGAAGATTTCTAATCGTTTGGAGCCGCCTGCGGCAACCCGTGGCTGAAGATATTGGCCGGGGCTGTCCGGTGCCGGTATTCTTTTGAAGCAGGGGATGAATGGGAAACATAGAGATAAGAGTTGACAATAAGTTTGGCCTGGCAGAAATGCGCCTATTTTATCATGAATTTGGCCAACAATAGTTTGTTTTATCGGTGAATTAGCAGAACCCAACAATTATTGAACAGCCATTCCGGCCATTTCTGGTTGTAATATACCAAGATGGCTCCTTTAGGGATACCTAAAACAGATTAAAACAGGGTGGTTGTTTCTAAAGATACTAATCTTTATCATTCTTTATCCAATCCGTATGAGCCCAAACAGCCTCCGTTTTTTTTCTCTCCCTATTATCTGGATCTTATTATATACTACCTTCTGGTAAATTAACATAGATGTGGACAATCCACTATTTGTAGATGATTTTCCTACGGAAACCATGCTTTTTCCACAGTTGATTAGTGTACCCGGGTACCCTAGGCGAGTTTTTCTTGACATTTCTACCCCTTCTCGGTTCTTGCTTGACAAGTGCGTGTGCCTTCATAGTGGCTTCAACCTTTTGTGTAGCTTTCTGCAACATCATCTGGTTGGTGGTTTTAACCATCTTGAAAAATGCTGGAGTTCGTCAATGGGGTTGGGATTATCCCATATATGAAATGGAAAATATATGTCATTCATGTTCCAAACCACCAACCAGTACCCTCTGGTAAACTAACATAGCTATGGATAATCACCATTTTTAATTGGAAAACTCACTATAAATGGCCATTTGCAATAGCTTTTTGTATGTTTACCAGAGGGTAATTCATTACCCTCTGGTGTTCTCAAATACATCTGGATTTTAACCACGGAGCTCCTGAGTCATATCACCAGCGGATGAAACTACCCTCTGGTTATTTGTTACATAGCCATGGTATAGATGGCCCATTGAAATAGATGGTTTACCTAGCTACAAAATGGTGATTTTCCATGGCAAACTGTTAGTCATAACCAGATGGTACATTTTTGGGACCTTTTTTATTGGGATAAGATGGGTTAAAAAAAATGCGATATATTCTCGATCCCTTGATCACTGAGACCGAGACCTGTCATTGTTTCAATCCAATCCTCAAAATTGTTGGCTGTTCGGTGAAAGCCCAACAGTTGCGAGCTAAATATCACCAAAATCATTTGATATACCCATCAAAAAAGGGTCGTCTCAATTCGTTGAGCCCCACTATATACGTACATATTATATATATATATATTATCATGTATCTCTACACTTTTTGTTGTCCCATGATATCCTGTGATATCATCATATCAATTGGTTATATATATATATATGTATTTATAATGTATATGTTTCTAAAGCCAGGGGTAGCCCTTTTTATCATCGGAATTTCATCTGACTTTCTGATGGTCTCGTCCCTTTGCGCACCGATGGAGCTCAGCTGGAAATCGTCTGAGAACAAATTCACCGCCTCAAAAAAAGCCATATGAAATGCTGCGTATGTATGAACGCTAATATACATTAGTATACATTAATACTAATGCATATATATATATAAATGTATATATATATATCATATTATATATTATGATAAAGCTGGCTGAATTATGATAATGGTACCGAAAATCATCATCAATGGGGTTTATAATGTGAATAATGATGATTAATCAACAAGAATGGGAGTAGACATGGGATTAATCTGGATGATTCCCCTAAACATTCACCTTCCAGTGACGTGACAGTAAGGTCATGAAAAAATGCATCCATATATGTATTTCTGTCAATGTATAAATATATCATATAATCATATATGTAATCACATATCTAATCACATATGTAATCATCAATTCAATCATATATATATATGTAATATCATGTCATCATATATGTACAGTACATACACATTTATGACATATTATAAGATGTTATAAGTATCTAGTTCCCAAAGTCTGTTCGTAAGTTCATTCTATCTACCATGTGTATGTAAGCAGCTGGCAGCATGACACATGACTACAAAGTCCATGTAGATTAGATCTCCTGTACATCTACCCTCTGGTTATTTGTTACATAGCCATGGTATAGATGGCCCATCTATAGATGGTTTACCTAGCTATAAAATGGTGATTTTCCATGGCAAACTGTTAGTCATAACCAGATGTAACCAGATGGTATGTTTTCTCTGGAAAGGGCCAATGGCAGCATGGTTTTTTTTCAGCTGGATAAAACGACACATTGTGGTGACTAAAAACTCTCAACCAATGGGTACCGGGTATTCCTCAGGACTTTTGCTGAAACGTAACAATGTTGCCCTGAAACAGACATAAATTCTTGCTTGGTTGTTGCCAATGTTACTCAATCAACTGGATATCGGATAAAGCTCCTCTGTTGTTCCTTCTATTGGTTGGTTCTTACCATCCTGCATGCCGGAGATCATCCGTGTGTTGATTGTTTGCCATGGAAAAGTTGCCAGTTGGGTACTGCTAGCCTCTCGTCTACCCTGGCCAAGCAAAAAAACACAAAACCGAAACAATAAAACATTACACCGACTTTCTGATCATGTTACACATCAAATTACATAATTAATAATACCCGTTGATTTCGTAGATAACCCGCTTAATCTGTAGATTCATTTGCTCCGCGAAAAAAAACACTAGAGCTTCAAAATTCACCAGCAATTTACCCTAGTATATTACCATGTTCGTAGGGACAATTATATTAATGATTTCATATGATTTCTAGATGGGGAAATCGGATTTCTGTGTGGGTTCCAATTTCTGAGACAACCCCATGTATTGAGTCTGACCTATTCTTGTAACGGTCCAATGTCATAATGTTCATCCCCCCTGGGACAATGGTCCCCCATGAGAAGTGATGGGCAAAATGCCCATGCATCATTGCCGCTTCCATACCAAAATGGAGTATACTCTCTGGTAAACTAGCATAATTATGGGAAATCACCATTAATGGCCTCTGGTAAACTGTCACATAACTATGGAAAATCACCATTTTTGGGGGGGTAAATCCACCATTTCTATGGCCATGTTCAAGTTCGCAAACTGTTAGTTACTGTTAGTTTACCCGAGGCTACCCCAATTTGTTCAGATTCATCTGCCTCATGGAGGTAATTGGACAGTCATTATCCCTTTTAATAGGATTTTCCATTATAAACCATCCATAACTTGGGAATAAAATTGGGATTTTCCATGGAAATAAACCATCCAGCTATTGGGGACACCCATGATCTCTGGAAACACTGCTTGGCATCCGCCCCTGACTCGGTGTCGCTGTCGAAGCGCTTCTTTCTCAAGCTTCTTGATTCGAAGCTCAGCCTCGTGTAGCATCAACCAGAAATCCGAACACTCCTGCGATGTTCCACGCAGAAATTGTAGGACGATCTGGTTCTGTTGGAAAAAAAACAAAACGCGAAAAAAAGATCGAGCTAAAGGATATCATCATAGCAACTCCGAAAAAGTTGACATGTGACTTTCCTGTTGCTTGGTCAAACACTCGCAACGGGAATTTGGCAAGTTTGCACCAAATTGGAAATGACATTCGCATTTTCCTTTCGTCATTGGGAGCTGAAAAATGTCTTCGTAGAGATGTCATCCATGTACCAGTTGGAAATGGAAAATGATTGTTGACACTACTAGTACCGAAAACCTCCGAAAATGCAGCAGATTTTCACTCGGCCGGAGAGCCGAGATATGCTACCCCAACAACTCGGACGAGCAAAGACGACCCCTGCCTGATATACAGTAGCTGTGCAGGTCTCATATATTTTGTGATTTTTAATGAGTGAATGATGTTTTTCGCGATCCAAAAAAAAATGGGAGTGACATGGGTTCAAACCAAGTTCAAACAAGGCCATACTTGTATTTCACCGATTTTTTGAGTTAAAAATCTGTTCCTTGTCACAGAACACATCTGAGCCATCAAAAATACCCCTATCTAATCCCATGAAATACTGGTTGGTTTCTCTTGAAGAATTATGGATTAGTTAGTTCATGATCCCCAACGAACCAGTTTGTATTATCCACAATATTAACCAATCAAGAAAGCACAATATAATATAATTTATATAAAAATTTATCAATATACAATGTCCCAGTGTTTTTTCATAAACAGAACTATTGATGGTCAAATTCAATGATTTTCATGGCTGGCCCAACAAATGAGCCATTCAACATAACCTGGTAACGCTTTACGGTCACTAGGGAGTGTCCCAGAAACTCACTGGGGATATCTGGGGATCACCCGAAAAAAAAACCAGGGGGATTTTCCATGTTTACCCCATCCAGTGATAAAGGGCTACCCCCATGACTATGGAAACCCCAACTTGGGTGAAGTTAAAAAATATATTTAACCACAATTAACTATTATTAACCACTACTAACCATCATTAACCATGGTTAAAGCCCACTGCATCTCCTCCAAAGTGGTGCACAAAATGTCCAAGTGCTCACGGGCCGTCCGCAGCAAGTTCCTCGCGGCGAGCTGGGCCAGCTTGGCGGTGCCAAAGTCTTACAAAAAAGGACTGAAATAAGAAGAGTTACCCTCTAAGCGCAAGGAAAAAAATTGTATTTTCATGGTGATTAATGGTCATTAATGGTGATTGAATGGTGATTTAATGGGTTTCAATGAGATGTAATGGTGATTAATGGTGATTTACCCTCTGGTAAACTAACACAGCTATAGAAAATCACCATCTTTAATAGGTAAATCAACCATAAGAGGCGCCATTTTCAATAGCTATGTAACAAATTACCAGAGGGTAAACTCATAGTATGATAATTAGAAGCATTTCAATCCAAATCATATCAACAACCTAATAACCAATAAATAACAGGACGTCTAACTGTAAAGTCATATCATCTCAAATCCGTTTGAGTGTTTACGTCTGACTTGAGGCCTTTTGCCTTGCCCTTGATCAAAAAATGGGAATCATCAGCCAGAGGTACAGGGCTGCCGTGGTACACTGACATGTTGCAGGATACTGTATCCCAGTTTAAATGGCTGACTGGTACTCGCTGGCCCCTTTTTTTGTAATTTCTGTGCCTACAAATACAATCGGTACACCAACTTCTGGGCCAATTATCATCCCACATAAAAACAACTGGTAATTGGCCAGAAAATCAATCACTCCAGTTGCTGGTAGATTTCACCTTTCTGGTCACGGTATGGTTTCTTGAAACATTGACATCAGGAATGGTTTTTGTCCGCCGAAATTTATGATCCCATTACGGGATCATCAGGAGATGGAACCCCAGTCTCTGGGATTATCCCTTTTGCAAATGGAAATCAATACCCTCTGGTAAACTAACATAGCTATGGAAAATCACCATGTTTAATGGGAAAACTCACTATAAATGACCATTTTCAATAGCTATGTTAAATTACCAGAGGGTATCCGATCATTCCATCTCTTCTGTTGTATTCCTTTTTGCCCACTCAACGCCAGCTGGATTTTTCTCCCCATGAAACTGTTTCTCCTGGAGCGACCGCTCCATCTGCACCAGTTGATAGGTGGTTTATTTTATCCACCAGCGCAGGATTTCTTCCATCCGCAGTATCTCCATGTTTCTTCAACTTATATCTGGTTGGTGGTATACCTACCCCTCTGAAAAATGATGGAGTTCGTCAGTTGGGATGATGACATTCCCAATATATGGGAAAATAAAAAATGTTCCAAACCACCAACCAGATATTATCATATATCCCAATTCTTCCTGATATTTTCAGCTCATATGGGTCAAAAAATCCAAGACCTGGGGAACCACAGATTTGAGTCATTTTTTCCTTTTTTGACATCTATTAACCATCCGATTATTGAGGTACCCAAGGACTCATACACATTTTAATGGTGCTATGAAAATTTTCCGAGTAACATAGTAACATAGTAATTCTTCACACTGGACCACTCAATTTTCCCGCATTGCTCTCATAGTGCCACGTCCTTGGGATTTCTGTCACAATGGAAAATCCCGTCCCCCTAATATTTAAAAAACAAACAGCCCCATGCCAAAACGCCGCAGGTATGTGGTTGAAAAACTCCTACACCCACCATGTTTCAAGAATTTTCCGGGTGATTCATAGCTGATTTGTGATAGCAAAGTTGACTTATAATTTGGTTAACTATATTTAACCATGGTTTATATGTTCCATGAAATAAACAATCCAGCTATTGGGGATCCCCCATGACTATGGAAATCCCCATATATATCACTATAACATATAACATAAGGATAACTACAAACATATATATATATAGCTATGATTATCTATCTATATATATATATAACTATGGAATGTTCCATTATATATCTATAACATTATATATATATAACTATGGTTAAGGGTATTGTCACCTTTGGGATGACCGCCACGAAACACTCCGTTGGCCAAGGCACTCCGTCCGCGCTTGCCGCGGGGACGGCCGCGTGGTTGGCACGCGCGTTTCCAGGCCATCGTCTTCTGAGTTGGGGAAGATCATCCCAAACATCACAAAAAAAGTGGTGAAAAATCCATGGAAAAATGGAAAAGTGTTTTTTTTTCCAGTTGAACATGGAAAAGTTGGGATTTGTCATAGAATCTAAGAATTTTACCATGGAATCATGTGATAAACACTTCAGAATATGGGATCATCATGGAACAAAATAGTGAGATCAAGAATGGAAGAATCATGGGATAACTATGGTAAACCATTCCCTTTTTTTTTGGTTCATGGAATTGGATCATCGGATACCCCAAAAAAATAAGGGGACAACGTTTATCATGACCCCCGGGGGTCAATGGGACGATATGACAGAAAATGGTGTCGATGGTCAAAGAAAATGACGGTGTCTGGTACCTCAAAAGTTTTTTTTCAAATGACAAAGGTACATATAATTCTGTCATAATGAAAATGGTATCTCAAAACTAGGTATGGTCAAAGAAAATGACAGATCATAATAGCTAAGACAGAAAATTAACCTGCAAGATTAAGTGAAATGATTGAAATGGTGTACTACAGGTTACAGGTCTACTTGACAGAAAATGACAAGATCTTTATCTTTATACAATGTTGCAATTTACTAACGATGTTAAATGGTAAAAAATGATGTAACACAATTCGATGACATTCACACCATCATATCCAGAGCTTTCCAACTGTTTGGCATCTGGGGGTTACTGTACCAATCTACCTATCTAAATTGAGCCATGAAAAATACCATCTCAGCCCATGAACTACTGATTGGTCAGGCAATATTCCTATTCTGGTTGCAATAATCTTTAATAAACCAGCTAGTATAACCCCCTATCAAACACTAAGGGCCTTAAAAAAAGACTCGACCGGTGTACAACAGCAACGCGCACCCTCGACCGGATCAGGGTGATGTGAGATGACGACCTGGTCCACGGTGGCAGCTGTACCTCGAGTTTCTGTTCGACGAGGTCAAAGTCGGAAAGCATGGGATATTCTGACTCCCCACAGCTAGCAGTGATCAACCGCTTAGCGAAACTTTGACCACCCATCTTCAGGCTTTAGAATGAGGGCAGTGCTTAATTGACTGCTGCATTTTTTAACTTGTTTCTTTAAGCCTTGTTTAACCACTGAGATTTCGGATGTCAATCTGAAGTCATGGGAATATCAAAACGCCCGGGAGCAGAACGAACAGAAACCCACAAAAAATGATCACCAATGCATGGGCTGCACAAGGGGAAAGGCAAACAGATTGGAAGCAATTGCCAACAATCAGAGGGATCAGGGGCTAAATATGGGTTATATTAATATTATATATAGAATTATATATATGGTTAATAAGGTAATTGTACAACCACAGTGTGAAGTGTCTACCCTCTGGTAAACTAACATAACTCTGGAAAATCACCTTTTTTTATGGGTAAATCAACTATAAATGGGCCATTTTCAATAGCAAACTGTTTGTTTACCAGAGGCTAAGTTCCATTAATCCCTATTGATCACCACTAAAATCCCATTAAAATCCCATTAAAATCCCATTGTTTACCGTAATGTTTGTGTTCGGAATATCATAGAGTTGCCGGAACGTTGGATCCAACCCGCTAAACCCAACAGCTGCGATGAAGGCCTTGATCATTTTTATAAAGGTTACCCTCTGGGAATAGTTCCATAGTTCCATAGTTCCATTTTAATATCTACCATAAACATCATGTATCCATTAAATATAACCGATATTGCCAGGGGAACATGGATCATTCATAGTTTTTCCATGTGATTTTCCAGTTCCCCATGCAGGGACGATCACAATCCACTGCGAAATCCCAGAGATTTCTTCCGTGCGGCATGAGGCAAAGGATGAAGTCCCTGCCAAGTTGCAGGAATCTAGATATTTCACCTGGCGGTGTTTTTCAGACTGGCCCGGGAATCCTGGAATTTGGCGAATGCATAAAAAAGCCAAGGTTTTTTTCCATCGAAATAGCGTCCAAGTCTAGAAGAATAATGCTCCACAGGTCTGTTTTATCGACAATGTATACCCTCAAAATGGCCATTCAGAGGTAGATCTTTCGACTATTTGCCTAATATTTGCCATGTACATTTCATAGTTGCTTGGGATTTGGGGAAGCACCTTGTCAACAAACAGGTCCAACTGAGTCAACGAATCTCCGATAAAAAATCTCAGGGGGAAAATACTGCTAGTTGAAACATAATGTTATATAAAAATATATAATATATGTTATATACATATGGAGGTTTCCTACAATGAAAGATCCCAAAGTCACCATGGGTTAACCTATACTAAGTCATGGCCTTCCATGACGACTGGATGATGACTGTGGGCACCCCTGAAGCAGGAAACCTCCATGTGTAGTGTTAACAAAGCAATAGATAGTAAACCGTCCCCAAATTTACAATTTTTATGGGTAGTATGAACCATCAACATATGGCTATATAGTTTATGGTGCCGGGCATCTGAGAGGCTCGCGACTGTTGTCACATTTTGTCTCATGCTATCAACATAACATTGGATTGGGGGTGGGGTAGGGTGGGGTGGGGGGGTGTAATAACGTTCATTGGCATTTGCACACAAACACGCACACATCATGCTACGCTGCTGTACGTTCTCTTGCCCTTCCACACATGCGTCATGCTACGCTGCTGTACGCTCTCTTTCACTTCCACACATACGCTGCTGTACGCTCTCTTGCACTTCTACACATACGTCATGGTGGTGATGATGATGATGATGATGGTGATGGTGATGGTGATGGTGATGATGGTGATGGTGGTGGTGGTGATGATCATCATGTTGATGTTTTTTGATGATTATGATTATTATGATTATTATTATGATGATGAAATGTTGAAGTCGATGTTCATGTTGATGTTCATGAAGATGCTGGTAATGAAAAACATCATCATCATCATAATAATCATAATCATAATGAACATTAACATGAACAGTTGATCATAAAAGTTTTGTTTTTGGCCCTTTTAAATTCCCCCATCGTAAAACCTTTGAAAAATGCCAACGTTGGCGCGAGCCTCTGAGATGCCCAGCACCGTTCGTGTATGGGATTGCTTTACATCATGGCCCATTGAAATAGATGGTTTACCTATTAAAAATAGTGATTTTCCATGGCTATGTTAAATAACCGGAGGGTATATCTAACTATAACTGACTATACTCTGATGATGTGATCATTTAAAGCTCTGGTAGTCCAACCATCTGTCATCACCTGCTTAAGGTATCTCCAGAGTCGACCAGAATATATCAACCACCGGAAAGCAAAAAAAACTAAATATGATAAGACCATGTAAAAAACCCACTTTTCCTAGTGTGCAGATTTTTGCCATTATATTATCATGTTTTCAGCCATAAATCACTCAACTTTAAACACAAAAAAAAAAACAGTCCCATCCTCCAGAGATTCGCTGTTGTCTATGATGTTTAAGATTTATAATTAGGAATAGATAAACCAGGATCTATGTTCATACCAGGATAAATCACTCAATTTTAATCACTATTAACCACTAAAAAAAACACTATAAATTACACTATTCATGGCTTATAATCACCATTAACCACCATTTAACCACCATTTAACCACCATTTAACCACCATTAACCACCATTAAGCACCAGTAATAATAAACATCGATTCTGGCTTTCCCTGGGTTTCCCAGGCTTTCCCCCGTTTTTTTTCGGCGCCTGCTCGAGCAAATCGATGTACCTGGTTCTAACCGCTTGTGCATCCTGGCGACTGGTGAACTGAAGTGAAGTTCGAAAAGGATGATCCCTAAGATCCAATGGGATTTATTTAAGCTCCCAAAGAATGGTACCCTCTGGTTATGGGATTTAGATAGTGATTTTTGATGGGATTTTATAGTGATTTAATGGGATTTAGATAGTGATTCAATGGGATATTAATGGGATTTACCCTCTGGTTATGTCAAATAGCTATTGAAGCCATGACCCAGTCGAAATAGTGGATTTACCCAGCTTTAAAATGGTGGATCTTTCCATAGTTATGTTAGTTTACCAGAGGGTATGTTTAACTATGTATGATGGCATCATACTGTGGATGGTTGAGAAATCCTGCATCACCAAAAGGATGGTTGAAAGCCTATGAATAATGGGATAAAGCACCGTTTTCAACTGGTGCAGGATTTCGCAACCATCCACCGTAGTATTATCAAAGTATTGGATATGATGTCAAAAATGCCATTTGATATTAATCATTTGGATATGATACAACCCTAACCCTAATATGAAATTAACCATTTGGATATGATGATGGTATCATAGTATGTTTTAAGCCCCCATCATAATCTATATTATTGTCATAGTTTATGTTTAACCTGATATACCATATCTATGATATTAACAAAATAATCTATGATAATATAGATAGTGATGGTATGATGATGATATTATGACAGTTATGATATATAGATATGATGATAATATAGATAGATAAACTAACAAAATATGATGATATCATAATCATATACATAGATATATTATGACTGTCCCCTTATTTTTAAGTGCCCAGTCATAATTCTATATATAATATATTACTATATCATCATAAAGAAAAAAAATATCTTTCAAAATAGAATTATACGTCCAGTTTTGAATTCATCAAACAAATACTACTTGCATGTCCATTCTCTTGCAGCTGTTATACAAAGAAAATAGATACCCGAATATTGTGCGGGAAAACTATGGAAAACTGATATGTATAGACTGTAGTTCGATCACCATTTAGTTCGATGAGTTTCCCAGCGACAAAGTGGAACACAGTTGATTTTCCAGTGGAACACAGCTGAAGCTTCATGGCTTCCAAAGTCTTCGCATGTATTGCTGTATCCAGTTAGAAAGCATCTCCATTTACATTCCCATTCTTCTCATTTCTTGTTGATCTTCTAGTGTTCCATTGTCTATGTTCAAATTTCTCTATTAGAATTTTTGCATTTTCATACCCAATTTTTCCCTGATAGTTTTCCCTGCCAAAGGTAATCCTTCTGTGCTGGTTGGTTATCGGCATTGGTGAGAAATGTAATCCACAAAAAACCGGGTAGCTTCATTTACCCTTTACTATTTCAACTAATCAATAAACCAGGCTCCTGGCCACTGCTCAATTGATTTGTCCCATGAAAACACGGAAACTTCCAGCCATGTTTGAGGAAAGCAGAGAGGTAACTCCCTGAAGCAATGACATTTGCAGATGTGTGATGCAAATCTTCATCGCAAAAAACAGATCATGTTTCTTCCAAAATCATTGCCCAAAAAAAACAAAAAAACTCGGGTGAATCATCACAACCCTTTTTTCGGTAAACCGGTTGGGATTTCGAATCGCCAGGCCGGCCACGCACGCTGAAAAAATGCCACCGTCCCCGATGAGCCAACCCTGGGTTCGGCCTTTCGCACAGATGATATTATTTGATGTGCCTCAGGCGAACTGCGTGGAAACGTGGAGAGGATGGCCAAGTGGCAAAGTGAAAGTAATGGGATATTTAATGGTATATGATATCAAGGGGATATTTCAATGGGAATATCATTCATGTCCATCGATCGATATCTTGGTGATTTGTAAAATGTGGCAATATATATATATATACATCTGGGGATATAATGGGCGTGTGACTGTGGATGTGAGATGTGGAGAAATCCCAGCGATGTTCAATAATCCTTGATAGTAAATGATCTCTTACAAAATATCGGAGATCCCCCAAGTAAACCAAACATGACATATGCAAAACGAACATAGATGCCACTACGGATAAGATTTTTTTCTCTTTCCCTCTCTCTCTCTCTCTCTCTTTCTATGTATGTATGTATGTATGCATGCATGCATGCATGCATGCATGTATGTATGTATGTGAGTATGTATGTATGTATGTATGTATGTATGTATGTATGTATGTATGTATGTATGTATGTAAATATATCTATATATATATATATCATATATTATTTATATATATATATGTATGTATGTATATATATATATGTATGTATAGCATGTATTGTATATATATATACATTCACATATATTGTCTTGTGTAGAGAGAGAGAGAGAGCAAAAAATACCAAACATATATATATATATATGTATATACCCAACATAGCCATGGGAAATGGCCCATTTATAGATATTCATAGATGGTTTACCTGGGTTTACCTATTAAAAATGGTGGATCTTTCCATGGCTATGTTAGTCATAACCAGATGGTATATATGTTTGTTGCAAAAAATATATACCGTACCACCAATTTTGATGATTAAGAAAATTTTGGACATCATGTTCTCTATGAAAGTTGCCACAATGTGAATCAATGCCCAATTTCAAACAAACCCACCACCATATTTCAGCTTAAAATACATATCGCACTATAGAATTGGGGATTCCTTAATATCCCATCATATCTGGATTAATCAAATTATTCACCGACCAACATCCTGTTTTTTTCCTCCGAAATTCAATTATCCAATACATTCCACCAGGATTTTGTAGGTGGTTTATAACCAGTTATAATATGCGTATTACCCACTTACGATTCCTGGGATGTACATACAACTCATTACATGCACCTGAAACTACAATACTACTACAAAACAATGCATGTGTAATATTATATATATTTGTCATCCTGTACTTTTTGAATCCCGGGGCTAGGATCAGGAGAGTTTCTGGATTCAAGAAGTTTTTTTTGAATCTTGAATCTTGAATCTTGAATCTTGGATCTTGAATCTTGAATCCTGAGCCAGTCTAAGTACTTGGGCCCCTGGACTCGCTTGCAAACGTTTGCAAACGCTTTTGGTGACAAAATTGCTTTAAGTA